CTAGCAAATCTGAAATCCCATTTGACAAGATAATCTGACAAGCAGGTGTTGACTCAGGTGTTACGACTCTACAATCTGACAAGCAGGTGTTACGACACATACCAGACTCCTGACAATCCACCTGTTTACTTCACAACTTAAAACACAATGTTGTGGCTGTAAAATAGATGAACTCATAAAATGTCCATTTATATCCTGTCAGAGAGAAACTGGGTCAAACTACTGTCTACTGAGGAATGTTGAATGCCTGATGCAGTGAATTCTGGAATAAGTACAGCGTGGCTGTTAAAAGTGCTTAAGGCCAGACCAATTTTATGTCTTGTTTTACAGATCCACTGGTCGTATTTTTTCAAGAATAAGAAATAAAAGAAATTTTTTTCTCCCTGCTCAAAAAAGAAATCCTCATGTTTTTATTGGCCAAAAATGTAAACGTACAAAGAAAATATTGTTGATTGTTTTTTTTGCTCCATATATATATGTTTATTTCTTTAATAGGCCAACGGCCAACATGAAAAATACAATTAACATACTTTCAAAAGCGCATTGCCAACATCTGCCTCCCCCCACCCAACCCCCTTACAAAGACCTTTTGTGACAAAAGATAGCACTAGAAAGAAGATCAACATTCATGGATAATTCAGATTATAGTTTTGCTTTACCTGAAATATATGATAAACAAATTTGGCTAAGTTGAAGGTTAATACTTCAACTTTAGTTTGTAAAAGACTAATAAACTTCATCATATTTGGAGACTTGTATACGTCCAGAGGTAGGTAGCGACGTCTAAATGTCAAGTGCTTAGGACAAACCATGATAACATGATATTCATCCTCTATGTCATTTTGCAAAAAGGACATAATCGATTTTCTAAAGCTAATTTTGGTCGAGCCCATCTTCCTTTCTCAATCATAAGTGAATGAGAAGATAATCGTAGGCATGTCAAGGCTACCCTATAGTTTATGATATCAATTTGAGATAAATACTTTTCCATGGTAAGTGTGGTTTGATAAGAAAATATATTCTTGTTTCACTAAGTGAACTTATATTATTTTTCCACATTTGTGAATGTATATCAATAACCCTTTGTCTAAAAGCACTTATAAATCCTGTACAATTTTGAGTCAATTTCTGTTGTAACCAAATAAAACCATATCCATACTGAAACAACAAGTCTCTAATGAGAGTAACCCATATACACTTCATAAATTGACAAAAATAAAATACTTTTAGTATTTAAAATGAATATTTCTTTGACTAGAGATTTTTAATTTTTATTTTTTCCCTCCTGCCTTTAGGTTTTCTGAGGACAAAAATCCATAAAACAAGAAATAAAATTGGTCTGGCCTAAAAAAAGTTTAAAAGTTAAAAGTGTTACAGCTAAACATCCATGCTAAATATTGCTTCTGTTTCTGGTTTTATGGCCCACCCAGGAATATTTCAGTTGCATGACAGTCTGTAAATGATTGAATCTGGACCAGACTATCCAGTGATTGACATAATGAGCATCATTCTAGCCACAATTGCTGCACATTTGCTGCTGAAGTTGTACATGACAGAATTTTATCACAAACATTTTTCCAATTCACAATACCTTTTAGAAAGTGGTCAATATTTGTGATTACACTCTAGGATTTGAACCCATACTCTTGGAGGGTGGCACCAAATTCCCAGCACACAAAGTCAGTGATCTACCCACTCAGTCACCACGGCTTCCATGAAAATGGAGCTGAGTTTTACGTCTCACTCAGTGTTCACGAATGGTGTTTCAAAGTCACAGGACATTGGGTCCTGTAAGTTTCAGATGTCTGTCTGACCCATTGAAAATGCACAGGACCCATGGAATAAAATTAAACACACATTTCAGATTTAATATTTCTTATAATTGACATTGAAATTATTAACAAACATAAGATTTATAAACAGCAAACAAGTGTCACATGTCACATAAAACAACTTCAGTCAAAGTCATGTGAAATATACAGTCAGACACTGGGGCCGGCGGGTTGTAGACTTCTGTCTGACCGTTGGCGAATCTGCCGGATTTGTCAGAGGGTCAGACGCTATTCGTGAACACTACCACTCAGCAATATTCCAGCTATACGGCACCATGAAAATGGAAGTCTGATGACTTGAGTCTATATTTACAAAGAAAGTGTAATCCCAAATATAACAGATTTTACATTTGACCACTTTCTAAACGGCACTGTGTGTTCAGTGCGGGAAATAGCCACTGGCTTGCTAGCCTGTGGCTAGTAAAAATCCAGACGGGCCAGTAAATCTCTGCAATCACAGGCCCGACTGGCTAGTGATTTTTCATGGGGTCATTTTGTAAATATATCACTCTCTCCATCTTGTTAAGTTATAACACACTTTTAAATCATGCAAAAGTATGGCCTGATAAAAAAGTTCATCATATTAGCAGCTAATGATGAAACACATGTCTACATTCAAATTTCGGACTAGTGAATTATTGTGTGGGCTAGTAACTTTCCTGCATAGCTAGCCTGACTGTCTAGCCAAATTTGGAAAATATTTTGCACACTGTGTGTGTTTATAGCTTTCAGCTATGGAAAATGTGTCATATTACACTTGTCAGAAGCATACACAAAGTATGTGATCTTGAGACATTTTAACAAAATGGGTCTAACAATTTTCTGTTGTTAACCGTTTAACTGTGAATGAATGAAGATATGCTGTCTCTGAAATACAAAACTACATCTAGTATACCCTTGTTATGGCATCTAATGACTATCACCCAGATACCTGCAGTAATAAAATATGCTCATTCAGGGCAACTACATATTATCCTCAGCCCTAACTATGCATGAAAATGATGGGCAACTAAAACTATTTGTAGCTCTAAAGATGTATATCATGCTCTTTCTATGAAGTACAGATAATGAAATATATTGAGTCAAAGCAACTATATATTTATCTCAAGCCCTAACTATGTATACTACAAAAGGCAATTAAATAAGTCACTAGAGCTAGTCATGTATACCACGCATGTCTCACTGTAGTGATATAGTATACTGATTAAGGGCAACTATATAACTATCACTAGCCCTTACTATGTATACCACAATAGGCAACTCAATAAGTCACTAAAACTAAATCTGTATATCACACACTTCTCAGTGCAGTGATATAAAATACTGATTATGGGTAATGATATAACTATCACAAGCCCTAACTATGTATCTGGTATACCTTCCTCCCCAATACTGCTTGATCTGACTGCACCTTTACGTGGACCGGCTAACTTTGCAGGATCTTGTGGTGGTACGACTGAATTAACGATAGAAGAGTAAACCTATGTCTGAACTTCAACAACAACATGGACTGTCTTTGTAAACATTAGTCATGCCTTTGTTTGCTGTTTAACTCTGCACTCAGCAATATTCCAGCTATATGGCGGCAGTCTGCAAATGATCGAGTCTGGACCAGACAATCCAGTGATCAACATCATGAGCATTGATCTATACAATTGGGATACAATGACATTTGTCAACCAAGTCAGCCAGCCTTACCCATATTCATAAGCCATGATCATAAACACAATGTGAAAATGGGATGGAAACGTGATATGAGTCTGCACACCCGGAAGTTCAACACCAAGCATGAAGGTCAAGGGTCCTTGTGATCAACCTAATAAACAAGTTAAAGGTCCATAGATTCAAATACCGCTGGAGAAGACCTCAAGGACCCCAGGACCTCCTGAATGTCTGACACTGCTTGGGAGGGATTCAATATACTAGTACATGTGATACCTGCATGTTCAGTTGTATGACCGAGGGACCGGTGCCACAAAGCTATCGTAGTACTAAGGTGATCGTATTGTGACCATTGTAGTCGTAACTCCCATACTTCAACATAGACTTGTGACCATCGCAGCACTAAAGTGATCGTAACTCCCTTACTTAACATAGGCTTGTGACCATCATAGTACTAAGGTGATCTTAACTCCCTTACTTAACATAGGCTTGTGACCATTGTAGTACTAAAGTGATCGTAACTCCCTTACTTAACATAGGCTTGTGACCATCGCAGCACTAAGGTGATCGTAACTCCCATACTTCAACATAGACTTGTGACCATCGCAGCACTAAGGTGATCGTAACTCCCATACTTCAACATAGACTTGTGACCATCATAGCACTAGGATCACTTTGTGCAACGGCACATGTAAGCTAATTTGCTGAATCTGGATCAGACAATCCAGTGATTGATATAAATAATAATAATAATGGCCATTTATAATGCACCTTTTCCACACACTTGTGCATGCTCAAAACGCTAACACATTATTACCCCGGAAAACCCAAGCTGCCTGTGAGGCGCTAGAAGGATATTAGTCACATTACTTATCCCACTGGTTACCCACTTTCTGCTGCGTGAACAGAGGCAATTTTGAACAAACTCGTAGTGGGCCAGGATCAAAGTCCTAGAACCCTATCAGGAGTCAAGCAGCCAAACACCACACCTCATCACCCTTGGAATATTGCTTGAGATACAGGAAAGTTGACTACCTCTTGTCATAAAATCTTGGAATTATTTTGTTTTTGAATCTCTCAGCACTGGTACAGTGTTGACAAACCAAGAAACATAATCAAGCCAATTCTAGGATTTTTAACTGACAACCACAGATTTCTGCCATGCCAAACGTACGACAATTGCCTCCCCACTGTACCAACCCACACTCCAAATCAGTAATAACTTGGGACAGATATAGATCACGTGGCCGGTCTACTGGAGCCATGCAGATATCACACGTACAAGGAGAGGAAGAGGGAGGAAGAGGAGAAGAAGAAGCGGGTTGACATGTTAGGGAGGAGAAGTGACGTGGTGAATTTCAATATTGAACATGTGCAAAAACAATAATGTGTGCACACATTTTCTTATGAACAATTTCTGAAAATCAATGTGACAAAAACGTGAAGGGTCAATACAACAAACAGCGGGTTGCAACAAGGGGGGATAACTCTACATGATGATCCTACCAGTGGAGGAACAAGATGCCCAGGAGTATTCTCGGTCGTGTCCTGTGGAGTTATGGCCCTTGTTAGATTCATGTTCACAAATAGATACATAATTTGAATATCAGTTTGATTGAAACGTTGCTTTTAGGTGTCAATTTAAATGGTCAAAATGCATTTGAATGAAGTAATTTGAACATTTTTCAAAATCTTCATGAATCATGAAATTTTTGTGGTATCATAGTTGCTAAAGATTTGGTCAGCAGAATGTCCTATACATGGATGTATGTACCTCATGCTTGGATCTGAGATGCATGAGATGCATTTTGCTTTAGATAATGTCAGTGAGGGAAGTTTTAAGCCGCTTTTTGCAATATTCCAGCAATATCACAGCAATGAAATGGGCCATTATCCCTATGTGTGGAATCAAATACGGGTCTTTGGCGTGATAAGCAAACCACTCTTTTATAAGACATGTGACATCTGGTGAAATGTATAAAAAAACAATCACACTGAAATGAAATTCTGTATGAAATTTTGAATTTTAAAATACATGAGTGCAAAAGGAGACAAAATGAAACAAATTAAAATACATAGAAACTGAATAAAATACACAAAAATAAGGAAAAGACACAAGTGGGAGACGAGCGTCTCAGATAGAGAACATTGTAAGACAATGAGGAAGAGAATGGTCAGTCTGACTGAATAAATGTTTCATGGCACACTCAGCAATATTCTAGCCATGTGAAAAAATAAAGATGCAGGTCTGAGCTATCGGGTACGATGACAACTAGTCGACCTAGTCGACCAAGTGACCGAGACCACCAGTTGAAATTAGTCATCTTTTTACAGCCAGCATGGTTGCCTCTTTCAATAAGTGATAAGAGTGCTGGTGACAATTTGTAGCTGCCGGCAAACAATCAAAGCAAGATTGAAGACAGATGAAAATTGATACCCATGTAAGATATATAACGTTGAATGATGATTCATGATGTTGTTTAACTTACTTAAATCGCCTTCAGGAAATTCTTCTATTTCTTTTTCAGGCATCCCAAGAACTTGACGGACTAACATGGATTGCCCAACAATACTGTCCACGGCCTCGATCAGATACTCGTACCTGTCACAAAAACAAATAACACACTTAATGAAGACATTATACTTAGTATCATGGGAAGAATACAATCAGAAAAGATTGTCATGAGAAATTGGGAAGAGCAATGTGGTTAAGGGGAGGTAACTCACTTTCTAATTTTCATATATATTAATATCAATATTTTTTAGGTTTAATCTCCCAGGTTTGACTTTCCTTTTGGGCATTTGTTTCTTTATAAATATCCAAATCTTGCATCTATGTCATGATATATTCTCCCCTCCACACCACACACATACTTTACGAAGCACAATTCTACATCTGTTACTTGTATATGATGTCAGATTGATGAGAGAAACATATCAATACATTTACACTTAACCATTTGACTGCTAAACTCAAATTCCTTTGCAAAAGCTTGTTTTGTTGGTTGTTTAACGTCACACTCAGCAATATTCCAGCTGTATGACTTCGATCTGTAAATAATCAAGTCTGGACCAGACAATCCAGTGATTATCATTATGAGCAACAATCCATGGAATGCATAAAATGACTTACATCCAAGTCTGGTGTCTGACCACCTCATCCATTTAATCACCTCTTATGACAAGCATGGGTTGCTTAGGTCCTACATTCTCAATGCAAATGATATAGGTTAGAATTGGTCTTCAGAATTGGTGATCAGGTGGTCAGGCTCGCTGACCTGGTTGATGTACGTCATTGTATCCCAATTGCGTAGATTGATGATCAAGATGTAAATCACTGGATTTTCTGATCCAAACTGCTGTCATATAGCTGGAATATTCCGGGATGGATACAGCTTTTTAGAAGGGGGGGCACTATAGAGAAAGGGAAGGTGCACACTTCATTTTCATGAGCGTTTGTTTCAATGGTCATTTAATAAAATAACAGGACAAAGGGGGTGCACACCTGCAAACACAACACACACACACACACACACCACCCACACACACACTCTCTTTCTGGATTTGCACACATGGTATTGCTGGGAGCACCACACATTTACCTTGAGTCTTGTATTTGAGGGTCCCTAGGACCAGAGACCATATAATATTATGGTCTCTGCTAGGACTCATACTCTTAATTTTCAGGGGTCTTGGACTACAAAATGGGGGTCCCGGACACTTAAATATTATTATTAATACTGTTATTGTATTGTCCATCATGATCATCACATTATTGCTACAGTAATTGAAGTGCAAATTGTACAATAATCCAGCTACTAGCAAACTCTTTGATAACTTATTGATACTTGATTGGAATTTAAACAAAAAGTATTTGGACTTTTTCTATGTCCCTGTCGATGCGCTAATAAATTTTGTTGCACCCATTGTCAATATTTATGTGTATAGGATGCAGGACTTCAAATCCTGTAAATCCCTGGAGCGGCGTTAAACAACAAACCACATACAGGTAGAAGCACATCTAGTCTCCTGATGACAGTCCCTGTTTATTACTCACCCTATCTTGTACAGCTGCTGTTGTATTGGGTGGTTGGGGGTGTACGACATCTTCCCCACAGCTTCGTTGATACGATGCAAGTACGGCTCTTTGTTCTCGTCATCTTCATCCAGGTCCATCACCAGCTGCAGGACCAGTGACAGTAAACAGTTCTAACACGTCATGGCTCAATCATTTTACGCCAAGTTCTTTAACATCAGATCTTAACCCTTGCTATCGCTGCACAAACATCTGAGGTCATGTCATTACAGGTCATGTCAGCGTGACCTTTTGCAAACTTTGACTGACCAATGAAAGGACAACAAATCAGAAACCATCTTTACTGCACTACTTTGAAAATTAAATTCTATTCTGGTTTGAGAAATGTTTGAGGTCCTGCACCAGAGGACACGGATTTGACTCTCATGATAACTTGCAAGTTAGACTCACGTCTTTGAGGTCCGGCACCAGAGGGCACGGATTTGACTCTCATGATAACTTGCAAGTTAGACTCACGTCTTTGAGGTCCGGCACCAGAGGGCACGGATTTGACTCTCATGATAACTTGCAAATGTTAGACTCACGTCTTTGAGGTCCAGCACCAGAGGGCACGGATTTGACTCTCATGATAACTTGCAAGTTAGACTCACGTCTTTGAGGTCCAGCACCAGAGGGCACGGATTTTACTCTCATGATAACTTGCAAGTTAGACTCACGTCTTTGAGGTCCGGCACCAGAGGGCACGGATTTGACTCTCACAATAACTTGCAAGTGAGACTCACGTCTTTGAGGTCCGCACCAGAGGGCACGGATTTGACTCTCACGATAACTTGCAAGTGAGACTCACGTCTTTGAGGTCCGGCACCAGAGGGCACGGATTTGACTCTCACGATAACTTGCAAGTGACACTCACGTCTTTGAGGTCCGGCACCAGAGGGCACGGATTTGACTCTCATGATAACTTGCAAGTTAGACTCACGTCTTTGAGGTCCTGCACACAGAGGTCCCAGAACTTGCCCACTCTCTCCTCCTCTGGGAACAGCTGCAGGTACATCTGCTTCAGCTCCACCACCGTCTCATGGTTGTAGTGCATCTGCAACACGGGGAGGAGGTCACACGACTACTACAACACTGAACAGGGAGACTGTCACCCGAGTCAACACGACTACTACAACACTGAACGTGGAGACTGTCACCCGAGTCAACACAACCACTACAACACTGAACGTGGAGACTGTCACCCGAGTCAACACGACTACTACAACACTGAACGTGGAGACTGTCACCCGAGTCAACACAACCACTACAACACTGAACGTTGAGACTGTCACCCAATGTCCTTTTGACATCAAAAGAAATGGGTGTGAAATTTTATTTATCATCCAAAATCATTCTTCCAACTTATAACCTGTGTATACAAGTACAGTTAACCAGCATGAGATGTAATTTGATATAATTTGATTGTGATGTCATGGTAACTGATGATGTCACAATGGGTTGCACAGTAATTCACTGAAGCAATATCTCCTGTGAGATACCCCTTGATCTCACCCAAGCATATTTACTGTGGAAGCAATTTGGATGATAAACATGTTTACAAGATTGAACATGTCACTTTTATCCCATAATACGTTGGGTATTACCAAAATTTTTGTATTGCGATATATTGTGAAAGTGCAGAGCTCCAGATAAGATTTAGCTCATGTGGGTACTGTACCAACTGTATTTTTTTGGAGTGGGTATTATGAATGTTGAGTGGGTATTTCATTTTCCGTTACCCACTGGATTCAAATATGTGCGTACTTCAGTCATTTTACTCACTTAAGTATTATGTCATTGAGTAAGTTTACTAAGCAGGTATGTTCTGCCTCATGTCATACCTAATCAAAACCAACTTAAATATAATGGAAATGATTTCATAAAAATCACTCATCCTATACTGACAGTACAACACTAGTCCTATACTAACAGTACAACTTGATAGCAATCGATGTCTTTTTCATTACGCAAGCTATTTTTATAAATATATTCCGTACGCATTTGTTTTAAACTTTTTTGTATCTAACATTTTAAATGCGTAATTGGTACGCAACAATTATTTTTCAATGCGTAATTGGAAATTTTCTATGCGTATTTTACCCAGATACGCAGCTTATCTGGGCCTCTGAAAGTGTAACACATGGTTTAAGGTAATGAAATGTTTCCTTTCTTTTGAAACAATGCCACTGGCCACTGTCAGGACTCAGTTGTGATTGTGCAAGAGATTGAATTGCAATTGAAAATGTTTCCAAATTGAAGACTTTGCCCTAAAGTTTGGAACTGGAGAAAAAGCGTCTGCAGCGGTGTCCGCCGTTTTCGTACGAGTGCCTGTACCAAGCTATTCTTATATTTATATGGTTTAGAAGTCGTGCAAATGCAATAATACGACCAATAAACATTCTCAAAACTGTCAATGTATAATAATATAAAGGAAATACAAATGTTATTAGAATTTTTGACTACATCAGGAAAATTACCGATCATGGTCGCGGAAAATTGCCGATCATATCGGGTGAACCGGTTCATGAAAAGTGTACTGCAATATATCGTATTGTGAAGTTCGAATTGCAATATACCGGTTAACTGGTATTATCGTCCACCCCTAATAATACGCATATGTAATATTATTGTGAATCTCAATGCTGATTTTTAAGTTAAGACTCCAAAAGCCAGTAAATCTTGGTCTTGCAAGCTCTGCTAATAGTTGTTCATAAAACAAAAGTAAACTCTACTGAAAATGATGCCTAGAAACACGTTCCGTCTAGTACTAGTAGTAGACATTTACTAATTACTAATTACAGAACTGAGCTTTCAAATTAAACAACCATACACATCTGTTATCTGATGTATTTCTATTGCTGTGACACATGTAATAATACAGATGATGTCGGAATGGGTAAACTAGCACCTACCCCCTGGTTGTGTCTCCTGAAGATCTCCTCCTCCGTGATGTAGGCGTCGACGGGCGACTGTGGACGGTCGGGCATCCTGATGGCATCTATCAGCTCGTCCAGGATCTGCGTGACCACCTGGTTAGCCTGCTTCGCCTGCAGATCTTGCTGGAAACACCATGACAACGCTGGATGAGTGAGTGAATGAGTGAGTGAGCGAGTTTAGTTTTACGCTGCACTCAGCAATAGTCCAGCTATATGATGGTGGTCTGTAAATAATTGAGTCTGGACCAGACAATTCAGTGATCAACAGCATGAGCATCAATCTGTGCAATTGGGAACCGATGACATGTGTCAGCCAAGTCAGCGAGCCTGACCACCCGATCCCGTTAGTCGCCTCTTACGACAAGCATGGGTTACTGAAGATCAATACTAACCCTGATCTTCACGGGTCCAGCTCTGGATGAAAATATGCTCAAGACATGTAATAAGTTCCTGAGGTGGGTTCTCATTAATGACTGACTCAACCCTTTGTTTTCATTTTAGAAAATGTCTGAATATTTAAGGTGTCGACCTGAACTTTTTCATACAGTGATACTCATTGTTTTGTTTTTTTGTAATTAATATTTCATTTCTGAGTCCCTGTTATAAACAATACCAGACACCCAGGGTAGTGCTTGGCCCAAGTCATATAGGAGGTGAGGTGAAATTGGGTTTAACGTCGTGCTTGAGAATATTTCGCTCATATGACGACGTGCATGCGTGTGTATGTGTATGTGTGGCTGCTTGTACTAGCCCAGACTGAAGCTGGTTTTATAGTGCTAGCCCACTGAGATACCATGCCGCAGTGAAGCATGAATACCCCACTCAGACACATTATACTGACTCCGAGCCGACCAGTCCTTGTTGTACCCATTAATGCCGAGCGCCAGGCAGGGACCAACAAGTACCATATTTTAAAGTCTTTTGGTATGACGCGGTTGGGGATCGAACCCGCGACCTTCCGCTCTCCGGGCGGACAGCTCTAACCACTACACCACGGAGGCGGTCCCAAATCATATAAGAGCAGATAGTCATCTTTAAAAGAAACAAGCAAGATTATACCTGTTGAAAAGGAAATTGTTATACATATTAATTATGTCACTGAAGTTCATATTAAAGATATGATGATGTGTCCTCCGATATTTTTCCAAGATTTGACACTCACATAGACACTCATTCACACTCCGATTCACTCACATTCTGCACTAAACCATAAAAAGGTTTAACATAGACACCTCTAAACATAAATTCAAGGAATCAAGACTCTCACCTCCAGTTCTTGTCTCTGTTTCTGGTAGATGTCCTCCTGCAGTGCCACCCCTCTCAGGGACACGATGAGGTCGGCACCGCCACAGACGACGGGGCGAGTCTCAAACTTCCACTGTTCCGTGAAGACTCCAGCGTTGGGAGACTTGAAGACAAACGGGAACTTCATCGTCTCTCCAGGCAGAATTACACCTGAAAAAGCATACACAGTAAAAACAGCATGCTTAGTGACAGTATATACTATACGTTTGTATAGACTGGAGATGTTGATACTTTAATATGCTAGCATGAACATCATGTCTCAGATTAGTTTAATGCAAACAAACAATATTAAAGAAATATTAAAAAAACAAACATTTTGAAACTGAAATGACTAGAATATTTACAGAGGTTTTTACACATCTGGAACATATCAGGAATGAGGAAAAACAAATCTATCTCAGATTTTGAATAATAATTTGTAAATTCATATGACAACAGGTCTTGCTTCAAGTCTGTGACAACACTTGCATCATAAGGATGGGAAAGCCGCATTAACTCGGTGCGCCTAGTGGCAAGAAGAGTTGTATGATCCCCAGGGAGCTGAGATTGATAATAAGATGTGCCTTTGAGCATCCAGTGATTGAGGGAAAAAATACCAGCACTCCACTAGGCGAGGATATGATATAAATATCCAATAGTAAAAATAATAAAAAGATAATAATGTCCTTATTTTCCTACCCAAGCCTTAAAAGTGAGCGACTGTTGTTTTATGCAGTTGTCATCAATATTACTGTTATAACATGGCAGCCTTATTATTATCCCCATTGACCTGGAACTACACCAGATTGTATGTTTAGACTCCATCCCACAGATCTGACTGTGTGTATGTGTGTGTCACTGACCGCTGCTGTTGTTGAAGTAGAACCTCTGGACAGTGGCCTGTACCAACTCAAACGGATTGTCCTTGGGGAGTTGCTGAAACAGACACAGATGAGGTGAGGTCAGGTGAGTGGGGGTGAGATGAGGTGAGCTGGGTGTGGATGGTGAGGTGTGGTGAGGTGTGTGTGGTGAGGTGTGTGGGGAGAGATGAGGTGAGCTGGGGTGAAGTGAGTCCGGATGGTGGGGTGAGGTGTGTGTGGGGTGAGAAAAGGTGATGTTGGTTAAGATGATTTCAGAAGGTGAGGTGAGGTTGGGTGAGGTGAGGTGATGTGAGTCTGGACGGTGGGGTGAGATGAGGTGAGGTTGGGTAAGATGAGATCAGATGGTGAGGTGAAGTTGGGTGAGGTGAGATTGGGTGAGGTGAGTCTGGATGGTGTGGTGAGGTGAGATGGGGGAAGTGAGGTAAGATTGGGTGGTTGAGTGTGGTGTGTGTGTGTGATGAGGTTTAGTCAGGTGTAGTGTGGTGAGATGGGGTGAGTTGAGGTGAGGTGAGGTGGTTTGGGTGTGGGGTAAGGTGTAGTGTCGTGTGGTGGTGTGGTGATGATGAGGTGGTATGGTGTGGTGGGGTGGGGTGAGGTGAGGTGAGGTGAAATAGGGTTTAACAAAGTTTCAAAGATCAGCACATTTACAGCAACAACTGCGTTTCTGTCTTTCACTGCTTGTACTTGTTCAGACATATAGTGGTAACAGAATATCAGTTCCTCGTGAACTAATGGTGAAATATTCTTGCCAAGAACTTACAAAATGAATTCCATTAGGACAGATATACTGTAATTCATCTCATCCCACAGGTTACTCTCAAAACATTCTACCTTCCAGTCATAGTAGACAGATGTGGTCCCATCATTTACGATCTCCAGGTAGGAAGTGATGCGCTCGCCCGTGTATGACTCGAACGAGATCCGGGCCTGGATACCAGGCTGCCCGATGAAGCCATGACTGTCCCCTGTCCAGCGGGCCGGCTGACCAGCGATCTGCAAGGATGGTCCGAACACCGGTTCTGGGTAGACATCCGGATGGTCCTTGAGTGGGTCTCTGGAGGAATAACACATGAATCTTGTTGAGAACGGCAATCAGGGAAGGAATATATATGAGTTATATCCTGGAAGCTTGTAATTACCTGTAATTGAGTTGGCACAAAAATTAGCATTTTATACCTCTGATTATGTTTGAAACTTTCATCACGAAATAAAATCTCAAAAGAATGTTTGCTTTGTAACAAGCACGCTTATGACCAGTAAAATTATTAGGTTGATCTACTTGATGTTGAAACCTATGTAGTTGGGACACAGTTCACACGATCCTAGTCTTGGGACACATACCATGCTGTCATTATAAACTTTGCAAACTATGTCTATCATTTGAAACAATATCTCTCAACCATTTACTGACCATGGAACTCATGTTATATCTGTAATTACACTTTCTTAGTAAAGTACAGATTCCAACCCACACTCCCAGAGTCAGGAACCTAATCGCCAGCACACAAATTTTGCCATCTAAAACACACAGTCACCGTTACTTAAAATCTGTACTTTACTGAGAAAGTGTAAATGTCATTGTGTATTCATTCACTGACCACAAGTTCCTGGCCCCGATTTCTCGAGAAAAAAGAAAAGTTTTTATTCAAAATTTCAAACTGAGTTTGACAATTTGAAACAGCTGAACTTTTAACTCAACTGCATTTTTAAAATAAGAAAGCCCAAACAACTTAAGTAATCTATCCACCAAAAAATCTATCCAACCAAATTGTCTACTGTGTTTGAGTTTAATATCGATTTCAGTTCATTCTGGGAACATGCATTTTCCTGCGCTTTCTCGAATTTGAGTAAAAACTCTAACTTAAGTCAAAACTCAGACTTAAGTTTGTTTCGAAAATCAGGACCTGATCAGATTTTGTTTATATACGGTCATGGAAAAATGTTAACGTTGTTCTGAGCCAGATGATAAACACCCTTACTGTGTGAGGGCTGCTGCTGGTGTTGTTGACGTGTCACAATTGGCTCCACATATGGCCGTCGGCAGTGGATTCCAGCAGCCCGAAGACGACGCCTAATCGTATCGCTGGACACTGCTCCCCTTGACCCTAGAACTAAGGCTGCTGTTTCTGCTTGAGTGGGTTCTTTAGATGAGTGACCCGGATGAACCGATCTAGTGTATGAGTTGTCACTCATTGCCGTCCGGTACGGGGATGATCAGCAGCAACCCCGGTTTGCTGATGACGTTGAGCAAGTCGTGTAATGTGGTAAGATGACAGCCCAATTGCCTAGCGGTTGCAAAACTACCTCCGTGCAACTTTCCAATGGCCATTCCTCTCTGCTCAGTCGTTAGTCTAGGCATCGTTTGTGTGGCGTGTATTCCTCCTAGCGTCAATACTGAACTGTTTTTTGACACAAGCCTATATAAAGAATACCTCTGAGTGAAATGCATGCTTTCCATCCAGAACCGTCGACGCACATGCTTAAATTATGGTTTTGCAACACTGTTGGTGTGTTTGTGCGAATGGTTCGTATGGACGTCAAATTGCATGACATCATCTCATCTGGGATCATTACGTCACTTTACCATGAAAGTTCCATAAACATGAACGCTTACCTTTCATGAAATTTCATTTTTTCGAAACTTGTGTTTCTTTGGCTGTTCAGTAAATTACCAACCCTCTGCATCCTCCAATCCCCCTACTGATTACTACTACTGGGGTGTGGTCTACTCACTGTATTCCCTCGTCCCCATCCTCGAGACCCAGGTAGCGGTCCTCCGACTCAGCTCTCTCCGTGAGCCCAGAGTCCGACTCTATCTCCGCCCTGCCCCTGAAGGGGTTGTTTGTGCCGATCACCTCCAAGTGGTTAAAATCCTGGAAGAAGATATGTGACCATTGTATGATACATGCCAATTACATACTACCCAACTAATCTTCTTGAAGGCTGAATCAAAAGCAGCAAGACTGAAAGAAGTTTAATGTAGGCCTTGCAGTGTCATACAGGCTAAACAATTATCTGACAATGTATCAAGCTGACAAGGTAAGGATGTCACCTGTGGGATGACTCCATGCCTTGCTACACAGATATGACTACCTTTTGATAATGTAGGAATTACAAGTGTGTGACATTACCAAAAGACTACAGAACCTACTCAACATTTTACAGACTGATGTGAGGTGAAATTGGGTTTAACGTCGCGCTGGAGAATATTTTGCTCATATGACGCGTGCTTGCGTGTGTATGTGTAGGTGCGGCTGCTTGTACTAGCCCAGACTGAAGCTGGTTTTATAGTGCTAGCCCACTGAGATACCATGCCGCAGTGAAGCATGAATACCCCACTCAGACATATTATACTGACTCCGAGCCGACCAGTCCTTGTTGTACCCATTAATGCCGAGCACCAGGCAAGGACCAACAAGTACCATATTTTAACGTCTTTTGGTATGATGCGGTCGGGGATCGAACCCGCGACCTTCCGCTCTCCGGGTGGACGCTCTAACCACTACACCACGGAGGCGGTACAGACTGATGTCTTTTAGAAGCATTTAGAAGTTGTATACAGATGTCCAAGATATTTTTTATGGATAAAATAAATTAATTTGGATTAAACTGAGGGAAATAAAAAAGAAGTTTAATCTATAAAAAATATCTTGGACCACCTACAGATTATCTGCCTCATTTTAATAAGCGTTGAAACAAACTTGGATCACACAAAAAATTTAGTCGCTCGGGATGTCGGAAAATCTGTGATTATTCTTCAGGTTACCATACTAACAGTTGCAAGACAGATCATATTGTCAAGACAGATCATATTGTCAAGACAGATCATATTGTCAAGACAGATCATATTGTCAAGACAGATCATATTGTCAAGACAGATCATATTGTCAATCATGTTGCCAAGACAGATCTTATTGTCAAGACAGATCATATTGTCAAGACAGATCATATTGTCAAGACAGATCAAGACAGTTGTTGTCAAGACAGATCATCAAGACAGATCATATTGTCAAGACAGATCATATTGTCAAGACAGATTGTCAAGACAGATCGTATTGTCAAGACAGATCATATTGTCAAGACAGATCATATTGTCAAGACAGATCATATTGTCAAGACAGATCATATTGTCAAGACAGATCATATTGTCAAGACAGATCATATTGTCAAGACAGATCATATTGTCAAGACAGATCATATTGTCAAGACAGATCATATTGTCAAGACAGATCATATTGTCAAGACAGATCATATTGTCAAGACAGATCATATTGACATTTCAGATAGCATTGAGCGAGAACAGTGCTTGTAAAGTGTGAACAGCGTTTACAGGATTTTGAAAGTGAACATTCTACTCCAATCTAGTGACACCTGTAACCCACATTATCATGTAATGGAGGGTGTTATCGGTGCAATAAAGCAATCTGATAAACTTGGTATCCAAATCTGATAACTATGCAAATTACGTCAATCCAGGAACTACTTTCACAAAACTCCATACACGCCATGCGAATCCTTAAACGTTAACATTTCATTGATGACATCGTCGTGAGTTTACATTGCGTGGACCAGTTTGTAAACAAAGATGGCTGCCCCCATTCTCAAAATTGGTGATTCTGCAAAAATTGATGACAGAGATTCTGGAGTCGTTACTGCAGTAACTGACTTTGGAAAACATGAAATGGAGAACTTCGTTCATATTGAAGGTACGGATTATGAGGCACGACTGAGAGGCAGTCGTCGAAGAAAGGTACCAACCAAGGATTTCGATCTATCGATCACAATACAGACGACGAATCAATTCCATCAGGTATCCGAAACTGATATTGATGAGGTGATTACCCGCAATGAAAATAGAAACACTGCCAGGAAAACCCGATTTTCTTGTTCTTTTTAGACAGAAAGATCTTATTTTAAGCATCAGTTATGTTTGCACTGTGACTAGTCACAACCATATGCCGCCGTCATGAATGACCTTCACCTTGGTGTATCGCTAAGTATTCTTAAGCAAATGCTCGATTCTCTTCATATAAATACACATACAATTTGCCTCTTTCTTTAGAGTAATTTTGATAATGAGATTACAATTTTTATTCCTAATATATGATATTAATGATACGGAAACACACTCGGTTAATAATCTCTATGTAAGAAATTAGTGAAAAGCAACATGTCTCTCAGGGGCGGATCCAGGATTTCGGAGAAAGGGGGTGCACATAAATCATGAAGTCCAAAGGTTACGGGTAGAGGGAGGGTGCGCACCCCGCCTCTGGATCCGCCCCTGTCTGTTCAGTACAGGAAGTGAACTCACAGGTTGATGAGGATCGAGTTCGTCAATGACGGACTGTAGCTGCTTCTTCCGCTTCTCGTAGAAGGGGGCTTTGTGCCAGGGGTAGAACACAGGGACGGTGTAGCTGGGGCTCCAGGGGCAGCCTGTAACACATGGAGGAGGGAAAGGGGAAGTTTTAAAATATAATTTTACATGTCACACAAGTTGTGTGCCCTTGATGACCTTGATGACATTATCTTATCAACTGATTCATGGTTGGACCAGTTTGCAAATACTCCACCAATGAATGTGCAGAGTTGCCTCCCTTAACTACAAGGATCTGCTGGTCTTTACAAAAAACGAAGATTCACCATGGTCATCCTAAATGCGTCCTTCCCTCCTTTTTAACCCGCGTCACTCTGCACATTCCTCCCATACGCCATGTCATGAGTGCTGCTGGTCATTAGGCCTGAGGCCAGTAAAATTTCAAAAGGGCTGGCATTATAAAAACGGGACTGTCCTTCAGACCTGTTAATATTTTAGTAGAATAGTATAAGTTTTCTTCATACCAAATGACGCAAAACAAGAAATATTCTGGCAAGGCTTAAGGAGTCTTCTCCATCCCCACTTTACCTTTTTCCTTCCGAATGGTCTGAGGAAGTCCCACATGCTCCACGGGTACTGGGTAACCTTTCTCTGTCTGGGTCAAGGCCATACTGAAGACAAATACCAGGTTTGATGTAAAATCAGGAATATCAATGAAATGAAGCTCAGTAACATGTACCGTGAAGACTCTTTGAATATATTCCACACAGCAGGAACAAGTTTATATAAATCTGTCATTGAATGTTACCCTACACTAACACTGTTTGGCTTAGCACAAGAGTAAATGGGTCTTGGTCTTAACAGAAGGTTAAGAAGCAAATTTATAGGAAGTCCCTCCAATACCTCTTCAGTCAGTAACTTTGGCATGTTGTCTGAAATTTTGTATCATCTGTTACGCTCAGATACCAATAGTTCATGTGACGATGAGTCACAATGGACTGGAAATGATGCCTACAGATATTTTCATGTCAGGAGACTTAGCAGGGCTCGATTTAAGAGATGTTAACCCACTTGCACCAGGTGCAACCTAAGATAAGAACCTAGTTGCACCAGTGAAATTCCAGTTGCACTGTTTCTATTGCAATATGTAACATCAGAAATATGTTATTGAATTATTTAGATGTTTTATTCAGAAGTTTACCAACTCAAAAATTGACTTGTACCTGGTGCAAGTTAGACTAATAAAACTAGGTTGCACTTTGTAATATTGGGTTGCACCAGTGCAAGTAACAAAGCACTAAATCGAGCCCTGTTTAGTCCACAAAAAAAATTTGAAGGATAGACTAACATGTACTATCTGAAATTAACATATGTTACTGAAAAAACACCCCCGAATAGCTCCTCACTTAAGTAGATCCTCTAGGCCAAAAGGGCTGATATGTCAGATTTGGTCCCAGTGATGCTGATTATGATAAGAAGTGAAATAAGGTTCAATTCGTGGATTGTATAGCAGGTGAACTCACTGTATTCCAACCGTTTCATCACCGAACCTCTCCTGCTGCTTCCAGTACTCACTGCCCACTCGGTCTGCAATAAAATCTTCAGTGATTTACTGTGCAACACATTGTGACATCATTAGTTACCCCAGACTCGATTATTTATAGACCGCCGCCATATAGCTGGAATACTGCTGAGTGTGGCGTAAAACTAAACTCACTCATCATCATCATCATCATCATCATCATCATCATCGGCTCATTCCACAAAAGGGGCGCTGGGGTAGCCTGGTGGTAAAGCGTTCGCTCATCATGCCGAAGACCCGGGTTCGATTCCCCACGTGGGTACAATGTGTGAAGCCCATTTGTGGTGTCCCCTGCCGTGATATTGCTGGAATATTGCCCAAAGCGGCCTAAAACCCAACTCTCACTCACTCACTCATTCCACAAAGCCATCTCAGCATTCCGACTGTTGTAAGTCAGTGTTGAAGTGCTGAAGCTCAGATCGTCTTTACAACATTAAAACAGCCTAGAGAAACAGACCCCGGTCAGGATGTGTAGCAGTGCTGCAAGTGCTTGGATCCCATGAGGTGGGGCGGTAGGGCCGCCTAATGGTTAAAGCATCTGCTCGTCATGCTGAAGACCCGGGTTCAATTCCTCTCATAGGTACACCCCATTTTGGTGTTCCAAACGTGATATTGCTGGAATGTTGCTAAAAGCGGCGTACAACTACATTCGCTTGCTCGCCCATGAGAAGGAAGACTTACATCCCTTGCCATAGTCCATGGCGGGTATGGTCCTGTCTATGATGTATCTCTGTTCCTGGATGAAGCGGAAGTTGTCTGCCTGGTTCATGGCCAGGTCTTCTGGAGACTTCTGCAGCAGCTCTGTAAACAACCTCACTGATATATCATGCACATATATCATATATCTAAGGAAAATATATCATGGCAGGGTTAACATGTCACAGTCCACTTGCACAAAGCTGTCTTAGTGCTACGACAGTTGTAACTCCCATACTTATCATAGGCTTACGATGGTCGTAGCACTGACATCGCTTTGTACAACGGGGCTGGTTTACAGAGTATAATGGAAAAATATTTTCATTTGTTGCCAGGGCCCGGCTGCACAAAACTATCTTAACCCTACGACAGTTGTAACTCCCATACTTAACATAGGCTTACGATGGTCGTAGCACTGAGACCGCTTTGTACAAGGGGGTTGGTTTACAGAGTATAATGGAAAAATATTTTCATTTGTTGCCAGGGCCCGGCTGCACAAAACTATCTTAACCCTACGACAGTTGTAACTCCCATACTTAACATAGGCTTACGATGGTATCGCACCATGAGACTACGCTTTGTACAAGACCGCTTTGGTTGGTTTACAGAGTATAATGGAAAAATATTTTCATTTGTTGCCAGGGCCCGGCTGCACAAAACTATCTTAACGCTACGACAGTTGTAACTCCCATACTTAACATAGGCCTACGATGGTCGTAGCACTGAGATCGCTTTGTACAATCGTGGCCCTGTTGTTTAGACAGATTTTAATGGAAAATATATTTATTTGTAGCCAAGGCCAAGACGATACAACAGTTGTAACTCCCATACTTTATCAAGACTTACGACAGTTGCACAGTAAGATCACTTCCTGAAAACAGAACCTGATCCAACTCCAGACATGCAACATCAGGTCCAGCAAAGTATATCCCCATGCATTGACTTTTATTCATTTTATTTCATATTATTTTTATTCGACTTATGACATATGTTAATTTTGGACCAGTATAGACTGTTATAGTTGAACTTCTTATCTGATGGTGATTTGCCGAGACACAGAATGGGGCAACTCACTTGAGATGTATCCCTGTTGCTTCTTCCTCTGCATCATCCTGAGGTGCCAGTTCCTCAGTGCATTGTTCTCGTCCGCCTGGGAGTGGATGTTGTCTTTCACCATCTTCTTCTTCCTCTCATACTTGAGTGTTGGAGCTGAGGGTTGGGTGTCAGCGTCACGTGGACTCGGGATATCCTGTCATCAGGAGAGTCAGAGGTCACAGAATTGGGGTTGATGTAATCATATCACTTTGGTCACTCACTCACTCACTCACTCATGCTGTCAGTTGTCTTGGTCAGATTTCAATATGACAGAGCAATTACATAAAGATCAGATCCACTACTCCAGTATGACGATATCAGTGCAAGTGAGTGAAGCATTCAAATAGTATATTTGATTTCTGTATCTCAGAACAAACTAAAACAGCTCGTTCCGGCTGTAGATGCTTAAGGGTGCGCAATTATCATGATGTGGATATTTCGATATATGGGCCAAAATGCTGTGCTTGTGTGGTTACTGTTCAATGCCGCACTCAGCAATATTTCAGCTATATGGCGGCAGTCTGTAAGTAATCAAGTCTGGACCAGACAATCCTGTGATCAACAGCATGAGCATTGATCTACGCCATTGGGATATGATGACATGTTGTCAACCAAGTCAGTGAGTCTGACCACAAGCATTATTTACTGAAGATCAGTTCCAACCCAGATTTTCACTGGTCCAAGGCTGTAGTGAATGCTAAGCTCAGATGTAAACTGTGTGAATTTGGTGTGATGCCACTTTTAGCAATATTCCAGCAAGATCACGACAGGGGACACCAGAAATGGGTTTCACACATAGTATCAATGGCTGTCCCTTTGTCTTTCTTTCACTTACAAGCTGCAACGAGTGAAAAACGAGTGAGAAAGGCAGATTTTGTAAGAATTGGTCTTCAGTAACCCATGCTTGTCGTAAGAGGCAACAAACGGAATCGGGTGGTCAGGCTGACTTGGTTGACATATGTCATCGTATCCCAATTGCGTAGATCGATTCTCAAGATGTTGATCACTGGATTGTTTGGTCCAAAATTATTTACAGACCATCGCCATATAGCTGGAATATTGCTAAGTGCAGCGTAAAACACCAATCAATCAATCATAAAACACAGACACTTACAATGAGGTCTCCCTTCTTGACAGCTTGCCTGTGGAAATCGTTGTAGCTTCCCAGAATGCTGTGCTTGATAACGCTGCCATCAGGGTTGTAACGAGGTCCAGCAAACCCTACAACACACAGAAAATGCCAGAATGTCCTCAAATTATACCAGGAGAAGCCTGAGAGTCTACTAGCCTTAATGTAGCAGGATGTGTGAGTGAGTGAGTGAATGAGTTTATTTTCATGCTACTTTTATCAATATTCCAGCAAATTCATGGCGGGAGACACCAGAAATGGGCTTCACACATTGTACCCATGTAGGGCATTGAACCTGGTCTTCAGCATGACGAGCAAACGCTTTAACCATGAGGATACCCCACCGCCCCCCGAAGGGTGTGGATTTATCCACAGATGACATCTTTACCCTGTAGGCTCATGGGCGTCTTTTTGTTATGTGGGCAAGATGTCCAACTTCAGATCGAAAGGTCTTTAGTTTGAATTCCATTGCATGACTCTCAAGTTTCAGGAGAGTTTTTCAGAATCTGGTGTGGACCAGTGGCTTAAGTTGAAGAACCAAAGTTTTCAGGTGTAACCACTAGTGGCTTAAGTACAAGAACCAAAGTTTTTCAGGAATCTGGCTTTGGACTGGACTAGTGGCTTAAGTTGAAGAACCAAAGTTTTTCAGGAATCTGGCTTTGGACTAAGTGGGCTTAAGTTGAAGAACCAAAGTTTTTCAGAACCAAAGTTTTCAGGAATCTGGCTTTGGACTAGTGGCTAGTGTGGCTTAAGTTGAAGAACCAAAGTTTTTCAGGAATCTGGCTTTGGACTAGTGGTTTAAGTTGAAGAACCAAAGTTTTTCAGGAATCTGGCTTTGAAGAACCAAAGACTAGTGGCTTTAAGTGGCTTAAGTTGAAGAACCAAAGTTTTTCAGGAATCTGGCTTTGGACTAGTGGCTTAAGTTGAAGAACCAAAGTTTTTCAAAATCTGGCTTTGGACTAGAGGCTTAAGCTGAAAAACCAAAGTTTTCAGGAATCTGGTGCTGGACTAGGGCTTAAGTTGAAGACTGTGTGTGTAATGTTGCTTATTTGGCAGCCACATGTAATCCTGAAAACATTAATCAAACTCGCATTGGATTAGTGGCTGTTGGGAACCTAGCTTTCCATTGCCCATTTGAGAAAACTTTGAACCCATATTTCTCTGTACATGTGTTACCTGTACAATTCCTGCTTTACCAATTGTTGGTTTCAGATTATTAAATATGAAAGCAGTACAAATGTGTCAGTATAGCATCAATTTGCAAAATACTTGATTCTGATTAGTTTACCAGAGGTTACCAAAAGCAATAACAGACCGATTAAAAATCGAACAAAATGGCAGACTATTCAACTCTTATATGCATTTTTTCAAAATGAAATCTAGCTGAGTTTATCCTACCTGAGTGGTCGATAGGTTTGATTGGAGCATCTGGTGGCGCTGGCTTTGCGACAGTCACGCTGCAAACAGAAACACGCACACTGGATAATTTTTCATGTCTTCCTCTTCAGCTAGGGGTAGCCTAGTGGTTAAAGAATTTCCTCCTCATTACCAATATTATGTTTTACAGATTAAAGATAGAATGCAGCAGAGAGGGTTCGGGTGATCTGGGCATGCAGCCCAGACAGCGAATGGGACTTCTCCAAGGAAACGCTTCCTAGTTGAACCCACCAAGAACTTTCTGGAGAATATGTAGACTCCCCAACACTGCAGCCTTCTGCATTACCCAGAGTGTCAGAAGGGCTGTACTCCCAGATGAGAACCCGGGCACTCTTCTGATATGCACCAAGAATTCAGGAGGTACCAAACCAAGGGCACCGAGAACAACAGGGAGTCTGACGAAATGTCTAGCTTGCATCCTAGGTAAACTGTTGTCAGACTCCCCGTTGTTCTCGGAGTGCTTGATTTGGTACCAAGAGATCAGGAGGTATTATTATTATTATTATTATTAAATGTAATATTATAATCAGTCCGCTGAAAGAATCCTAGGCTTGACTTTATGAATGCTTGAAATATTGCATAAATTGGATACATTATGCAGAGTAGTAGGGAACATTCTTCTTCATGGGCAACATGCACAGGCTACACACTATGAATGTCAGGAATCAAACCTTGGTTTTTAGAATGATTCACTAAGCAACACATCAACCACTGGCCCACCACAAGAGTGGCAGAGTAGGGCTTCGACAATCACTTTCTTACTTCCTTAAGAGGCATTTACAAGCTGGTATGATGAACAGGAACGATTTTTAAGGATAGACAACTTCTTTATTGGAATTGATGCGACGTTTTGGTGAAGAAACCAAGCCTTGACACTGATGATTTGGCCAATTACAGACCCGTCACAAATCTATCCTTTGTGTCCAAGGTGCTGGAAATGGCTGTAAAGACTCGCCTTACTGCTTATTTGAAAAACCACAGTGTATATGATGAATTTCAGTCAGCGTATCGGAGCAGTCACAGCACTGAGACAACTTTACTTCATGTAATGGACACTTTGCTTGGAGCGGTAGACTCTGGCCAGGCTTGTGTACTTGTCCTTTTGAATTATCGGCAAAGACCTGCTCTCCAGGTTGCAAAAAGTCCAAAATGCAGCTGCCAGATTGATCTGCAGAACCACATCTCCCCAATCCTCATGCGTCTGCACTGGTTACCACTCCCAGCCAGGATAGAATACAAGATACTTAACATGACGTAGAGATGTCTTAACAATGCAGCTCCATCCTATCTCTCTAGTCTTGTCAGAGAGTAGGTTCCAACCAGGACTCTTAGATCAGCCAATCAGTTGCTGCTCATCGTCCCAAATACACGTCTGAAGACATACGGACATCGACGTTTTTCCTACTTGTCAGCTATCCTCTGGAACAATCTGCATTGGTCTCTCAAAGAATCCCCCTCAATAGCCAGCTTCCAGTCTAACTTAAAACCTTTCCTGTTCAAGAAGCACTATAACATATAAATGAACTCCAGCTGTAAATATGTATATATGTCAGCGCCATGAGCAACCACTTGGTGATTGGATATAGGGCGCGCTATACAAATGGACTTACTATTATTAGATGCTTGCACTGTTATCATCACTTGCTTGATAACAACAGTGTTAGCATCTACACAGAAACATGGCATCCATTAATAAAGAAGTTGTCTATGCATAAAAAATCGTTCCTGTTTAATAAACTTGATTGAAATTTCTTTGTTCTCACATAATGTGAGATAAAACCCAGTTGACTGTATGTACTGGTATGAACATTGGTATAATTGGCACACCAACAGGGATCTACCTTGATTCCTGTATCTGAGGGTCCCTGGGACTCATACTCTTAATTTTCATGGGGGCCTGGACAACAAAATGGGGGTCCAGACACTTAAATATTATTATTAATACTATGTTGTAATATTGTTGTAATTTAGTTACTGTTATTGTATTGTGTATCATGATCATCACATTGTTACAGTAATTAAATTGCAAATAATACCATAATCCGGCTAGTAGCGAACTCTGTGATAAACTAATTGTGACTTGACTGGATCTTTCGCCAAAAAGTATTTTTTCTGCGTCCATGTGGAAGTGCAAAGAAATTATGTTGCATCCATCGTCAATTTTTGTGCATATAGGACGCAGGAATTCTCGTCCCATAAATCCCTGCACCAAGGATAATTATTGGTGAGATTCCAAGATTTGAACCTATGATTGACTGTAGTATGGGAAAGGGAGACAACTCAGTGAATTGCAGAGCCTCATGCAGTTGAGCCACCATTCACCCACTCTAATAGTTTGAGCTTTTGTCGACTCACGCTCTCATGTTCCTATGGACAAATAAACCTGTTTACCAATGCAGTCATAAGAAATGAAAAAAATATTTACTTTGACTGATAATCTAAACTATGCACAAACATTTTATCTGAAATGTTTAAACTTGTACCATATTTGTTTTCAATGAAAGCAAAACAACAAAAAGTTCTGCTTTTACAGATTTTTTATCCTGAAGACACTCCACAAACCAAACCCTTTTCAAACACTCAAGATTAATGTGATTTTCATTCGAGGAAAGTAAATATTATGTGTAATGCAACAGACTTTGAGTACCAAATATTATCTCAGTCTTCTTATTTGCATTAGGCGGACATGTATTTAAGTCCTGTCAAGATTATTGAATTTTTCATTACAGATTTCACAACTGGAATTTTTTCACAACCCAGTCTCTCACCATTAGACAGATTATCTGAGGGTGTTAAGAGAGTGAGTCTTGTATGTTGTTTCATGCCACACTCAGCAATTCTCCACAGGGCTACAGATAAGGGGCGTACAGGCGTAATGTACGTCTCAAAATCAATTAAGTACGACATAATATAAGATTTCAAGCGTATCGTGTACGCACATAAACACCTTTGTACCTCTAATGGAAATCTATTTCGGATAAATACTTGTCAAGTTTCTTTTGCGAAACACGATTTGACACATGAGGAAACCCCGACAGTAGGAATCACTTGCGTTGCCATGCAATGATATGCGTCACTATTTTTCGATTGGCTAAAAACTACACTGTTCCTATTTATATCCAGTCGGACCTGACATTTCGCGCATCACACGGTCGCTCAGTTATTTCTCCCGCGTCTTCAAATACAAATACATGGTTGGAAATAGTGATCGATGAATCGTCCAGACAAACCACATCAACTCGCTCACACAAAAACATGTCAGTACTCCTTCAAAATTCTCAGTACACCTCCACTTGCAATATGATGCGTAAGTACACTCGCACCCCCAAAAGTTATCTGGAGCCCTGTTCCAGCCGTATGATGGCAGTCTGTAAATAATTGAGTCAGGACCGGACAATCCAGTGACTGACATCATGAGCATTAATCTACTGGGATACAATGACATGCATCAGCCACCTGATCCAGTTCGCTGCCTCTTACAACAAGCATGGGTTGCTGAAGACCAACTCTAATGTGGATCTTCATGGGTTGTCATAAGTCAGAAGAAATGCTGATAACATAGGGACAGGACTTACAATCTAGGTTTTGGCTTTTCGAGCTCGGCAGCTGGCTTCAGTTTTCGGACTGTAACTGTTGATGAGACAGGCGTCTTCTTGCGCTCAGCTGGAGGACGAGGTTCATGGATCTGATGAAACAATATGGATCATAATAGTATTCCATCAATTTTGGGTAACTAACTGTTGATATTTCACAAGTGCTACCTGTGTTGATACTTTTCACTCATTTTTTCAACCATTTTTTCAATGTTAAACTGGTCGCTTCTTTGTATTTTGATTTGAGTTCAAAATGATGGCAGTGAATGATCAGGAAACATTTATAAATGGTGTCAACTTGCAACAGTCTGAACAATGCAGCACAGATTTCATTTGTCTGTTACCTATTTGCCCTCTCTGTTAACCCAGACCTCTAATGCCCTTTCCCCAGTTATCATAAAACCATTACCCTGTCTGGCAGACTAACTAGTACAGCTTACCTTAAGGACACATTCATCCTCCTATGTCCCTTCCAAACATGCTGACACCTCCAACACCAACTGACCAACCAATATCTGTAGTGACACCTCTACCCCAACCAATATCCTTCCTGACAGGTCCAACACCAACTGACCAACAAATATCTGTGGTGACACCTCTCTACCCCAACCAATATCCTTACTGACACTTCTACCCCAACCAATATCCTTACTGACACTTCTACCCCAACCAATATCCTTACTGACACTTCTAAACCAACCTACATCCTTACTGACACTTCTACCTCAACCGACATCCTTACTGACACTTCTAAACCAACCTACATCCTTACTGATGCTTCTACCCCAACCTACATCCTTACTGACACCTCTACCTCAACCGACATCCTTATAAACACCTCTACCCCAACCAACATCCTTACTGACACCTCTACCCCAACCAATACCCTTACTGACACTTCTACCCCAACCAATATCCTTACTGACACTTCTACCCCAACCAATATCCTTACTGACACCTCTACCCAAACCAATATCCTTACTGACACTTCTACCCCAACTAATATCCTTACTGACACTTCTACCCAAACTAATATCCTTACTGACACTTCTACCCCAACCTACATCCTTACTGACACCTCTACCTCAACCAATATCCTCACTGACACTTCTACCCCAACCAACATCCTTACTGACACCTCTACCCCAACCAATATCCTTACTGACACCTCTACCCCAACCAATATCCTTACTGACACTTCTACCTCAACCAACATCCTTACTGACACCTCTACTCTAACCAATATCCTTACTGACACCTCTACCCCAACCACATACACCTTACTGACACTTCTACACCTAACCAACATCCTTACTGACACCTCTACTACTCCCAACCTCTAACCAATATCCTTATCACTTATCCCATTGACACCTCTACTGCTTAACCAATATCCTTACTGACACCTCTACCACAACCAACATCCTTTGTGACACTGACACTTGCGGCACTCTACCCCACCTACATCATCCTGACCACACTCACCTTCTACCCAAAACCAACTTTCATCCCATTCCTCACTGACACCTCTACCCCAAGCAATATCCTTACTGACACTTCTACCTCAACTTACATCCTTACTGACACTTCTACCTCAACCAACATCCTTACTGACACTTCTACTCCTCAACCAACATCCTTACTGACACTTCTACCTCAACCAATATCCTTACTGACACTTTCTACCCCAACCAACATCCTTACTGACACTTCTACCCCAACCTACATCCTTACTGACACTTCTACCCCAACCAACATCCTTACTGACACTTCTACCTCAACTAATATCCTCACTGACACTTCTACCTCAACCTATATCCTTACTGACACTTCTACCCCAACCTACATCCTTACTGACACCTCTACCCCAAGCAATATCCTTACTGACACTTCTACCTCAACTTACATCCTTACTGACACTTCTACCTCAACCAACATCCTTACTGACACTTCTACCTCAACCAACATCCTTACTGACACTTCTACCTCAACCAATATCCTTACTGACACTTTCTACCCCAACCAACATCCTTACTGACACTTCTACCCCAACCTACATCCTTACTGACACTTCTACCCCAACCAACATCCTTACTGACACTTCTACCTCAACTAATATCCTCACTGACACTTCTACCCCAACCTACATCCTTACTGACACTTCTACCCCAACCTACATCCTTACTGACACCTCTACCACAACCAATATCCTTACTGACACTTCTACCCCAACCTACATCCTTACTGACACCTCTACCCCAACCAATACCCTAACTGACACTTCTACCCCAACCTACATCCTTACAGACACTTCTACCCCAACCTACATCCTTACTGACAACTCTACCTCAACCTACATCCTCACTGACACCTCTATCACAACCAATATCCTTACAAACACTTCTACCCCAACCAATATCCTTACAGACACTTCTACCTCAACCAATATCCTTACAGACACTTCTACCCCAACCTACATCCTTACTGACACTTCTACCCCAACCAATATCCTTACTGACACCTCTACCTCAACCAATATCCTTACTGACACCTCTACCCCAACCTACATCCTTACTGACACCTCTACCCCAACCAACATCCTTACTGACACTTCTACCCCAACCTACATCCTTACTGACACTTCTACCTCAACCTACATCCTTACTGACACTTCTACCCCAACCAATATCCTTACTGACACTTCTACCTCAACTTACATCCTTACTGACACTTCTACCCCAGCCTACATCCTTACTGACACTTCTACCCCAACCAATATCCTTACTGACACTTCTACCTCAACCTACATCCTTACTGACACTTCTACCCCAAGCAATATCCTTACTGACACTTCTAACCCAAGCAATATCCTTACTGACACTTCTACCTCAACTTACATCCTTACTGACACTTCTACCCCAACCTACATCCTTACTGACACTTCTACCCCAAGCAATATCCTTACTGACACCTCTACCCCAACCAACATCCTTACTGACACTTCTACCCCAACCAACATCCTTACTGACACTTCTACCCCAACCAACATCCTTACTGACACTTCTACCCCAACCAACATCCTTACTGACACTTCTACCCCAACCAACATCCTTACTGACACCTCTGCCTCAACCAACAATTCCTTACTGACACTTCTACCCCAACCAACATCCTTACTGACATCCCTACCCTCACACCATTTACAGATATCCTTACCCAATCTGAACCACCAATCCCCTAACCTCTTCACTGATTTCCTTGGCCCCCTGCCCAGCATCCTGAAGTTTGGACTAGTGTTGGGAATAGGTTGAAATCTCACAATTGATGATTGGTTTATTACCTACGAGCAATCATCGAACAAAATTGGTTAGCGACATTTTTCAGATTTTCCTATTCAGGTTGTTATTGCAGATAAGTATGACGCGGTTTTCTGTTGTTTTTGTTTTAGAAACTGCGCAAATTGCATTTGTGAACTTCACATAAATGTAAAATGATACAGCTTGCTACTTGCTAAAGTGATGACTAATATATCATGAACATAAACTTCCTAGAGTCTTCAAGAAATATTCAGTCATGACTTTTCAGCAAGTGAAGTGAGTTTTCTAAGAATGATACACGTTTTCAAGCCCTGACAACTTCTAAGATATGTTCCATCGTCAAGTGTTTCAAACATAAAAACAGTAGTTCCAAAATCGTTTGTTTTTGATTATGAGAAAATGTGATCGATTGCTTGGTCATTTGGTCTCGACCAATCTTCGATTATTTCAATTAGGAACACCACTAGTTTAGACCCACCTTCTGCAGTTCATCCTCTTTGATCTGAAGTTTTTCGATCTCCTCATTCCAGATGACGTTGTGTGATGGTGGTCGGTTCTCACTGTTCTCCTCCTGGGAGGGCGTGGCCGACTTCTCGGGAGTACCATCTCTCCTTTTGCCTTTATTCAGTCGATCTAGAATAAATGAAGTGACTTGTTGGTTATTTCAAAGTGGATTAAGTAAAATTGAAAAGAGAAATCAATGACATTTTTCAAAAATATTTCTTTTGAAACATGACTTACGTGAGGTCGAATGAACAGATAATCTCCGGTTTCCTTGGCGACTAGCTCGTCTCCCCGACATTATACTAACCAATCAAGTTGCATCTACTGATACAAACATAGCAACAGATATTATACCAACCAATGAAGTTGCATCAACTGACACAGACATAGCAACCGATATTCTGACCGATCAAGTCCCATCTATTGAAACAGAAACAGCAACAGATATTACACCAACCAATCAAGTTATCTACTGACACAGACAAAGATACTGATTTTCAGCAACCAATCAAATCCTATCTACTGATACAGACACATAGCAACAGACATACCAACCAATCAAGTCGACCACATCTAAGCGTTGACAAATCAGACCCCATCTATTGACATAGACATAATCCTGTGTCCATGTAAATTATTATTAAGTATCATTCTGACACAGGTATAATCCTTTATCATCCCTAATTCTGTACCACAGGAGATATTGCTCGTGTGAGAACAAACATTACCTCCTAGGAGATATCATTTTGACAGTAGATTTTGTGCAATGCTATGACGTCATGAACTTGATGACATCACAATGCTATGACATCACTGCACTGCAAGTCTAATGGCAGAACCGTGTTCAGATATGTACAGTTTTCATTGAAAACTAATAAAGAGTGATTTTTTACGATAAACAGAATCTCACCCTCATGTCTTCTGATATCACATACATATCAACAATCGTTGATAAGAGTAAAAATATCCTTGGCAAGACTCAGATATTTGCAACTGTATCAACTTGTAGTGATATATTTGATATCAAAAGACACTCAGGTGAGATTCTCTATGTGTCCATACAAAATATCATGTATCAATCTGTCACAGACATAATCATACAACTTATCATCAAGTATCAATCTGTCACAGACATAATCATGTCTCCATACAACTTATCATCAAGTATCAGTCTGTCACAGACATAATCATGTCTTCATACAACTTATAATCAAGTATCAGTCTGTCACAGACATAATCATGTCTCCATACAACTTATCAATCAAGTATCAGTCTGTCACAGACATAATCATGTCTCCATACAACTTATCATCAAGTATCAGTCTGTCACAGACATAATCATGTCTCCATACAACTTATCATCAAGTATCAGTCTGTCACAGACATAATCATGTCTCCATACAACTTATCATACAACTTATCATCAAGTATCAGTCTGTCACAGACATAATCATGTCTCCATACAACTTATCATCAAGTATCAGTCTGTCACAGACATAATCATGTCTCAACATACAACTTCATCATCAAGTATCAGTCAATGTCACAGACATAATCATGTCTCCATACAACTTATCATCAAGTATCAGTCTGTCACAGACATAATCATGTCTCCATACAACTTATCATCAAGTATCAGTCTGTCACAGACATAATCATGTCTCCATACAACTTATCATCAAGTATCAGTCTGTCACAGACATAATCATGTCTCCATACAACTTATCATCAAGTATCAATCTTAGAGACATAGACATAATCAACTTATCATCAAGTATCAATCCACACAACTGTGTCCACACAACTTATTATCAAGTATCAATCTTAGATAGACATAATCCTGTGTCCATACAACTTATTATTAATTATCAATCTGAGATAGACATAATCCTGTGTCCACACAACTTATTATCAAATATTCATCTCAGAGACATAATCCATCTGATTATCAAGCATCCATCTGAAAATGTACAAAGCCATGAATACTTTTACCCAATAAGAATATCCTGATACCACAAATCCTATTCCAATCCTCAGCTCTGATCCAAGCATGTTGAACACATGATACACAAAGAGTATACACAAACCACAATCACAAACAGTGTACACATACAATATGCACATACAGGTCTCTGACAGAGGTAATCCGCCTATAATATTCACTGACCATGTACGGCATACCTTACCACAAGTCCCTCTATAGGGATCATGCATGTAGCGTTATTGAACGTTTATAGCTATTGATCTGCTGCTGTTTCTGTGGACTCTGGTCGCTAAGGCAGGAGTCTCCATAGGACTAAACCAATTACCTTGAATGTCAAATAAACTTATTAATCTTGCTGCCATGCTGTATTCCTTGTTGTGCTTTTATTGCCTAATCGTTGGCTGCTTCTTTGAGATTAGCGCCGGTTGCTAACGAAGTCAGGAAAGCAGATTTCTAAATTAAGGATGACATAGTACTGGCACTTAAACTGTCACCAGCCTAATGAAAATGGTGTGAGATTTATCTGAGATTTAGAATCTGGGATAGAAATTGTTTCCTTTTATGTTCCATTGGGCAGTCGTTATGATGTTTAGATGTGACCTTTAAAATTTAAGGGTGTCAGTAGGAGCAATACTTTTGATCCATCATCGATGTTGGTGAACGGCATTTTATCCTGAATTTGAGGTTGATGAACTGATCTGTTGGGTGTGTCTACAAGATCGAGACTCAAGTATTTTAAGACCACTATCAGACAGCTTGTTTAATACCAACCCTGACATTAAACAACAAACATACCTTATATGTTTGAATGTATAAAATAGCTACACACAGCAATATTCCAGCTATATGATGGTGGCCTGTAAATAATAGAGTCTGGACCAGACAATCCAGTGATCAACATCAAATAGGCTTCACACACCAGACCAATGTGAGGAACAAACCCAGGTCTTGCTTTAAAAATTTGGCCATACCACCACCATTGAACCACTTTGAGTGGGGTAGCCTACCGGTTAAAGCGTTCACTCGTCACGCCAAAGACCCGGGTTCGATCCCCACATGGGTACAATGTGAAGCCCATTTCTGGTGTCCCCTGCCATGATATTGCGGCAATATTGCTAAAAGCTGGCGTAAAAACATATTCAGTCAGTCAGTGAACCACTTTGAGTCTTCCTCAGTGACAATATGGTTTCAAAGTGAAGTAAAATTCATGAAAATACACGATAAATAGAGGATTTGTCTTTCTCTCATTAAACCACACGATGACCTAAAAAATCCATGCTGACATGAAAACATTTTTGATAAGAAAAGACACACATCTTTGTATACTTATACAACCTGTGGGAGATGAAGATGTTTCCGAATCCAAATCGAACGCAACTGAATGCTGTCTGATCGTCCCCATCATCTTTACTGCAGGCTGCAGACAGACTGAGTTAGGGCAACGCTAATTAACTACTGCAACAGGTATAAATTATTTACCTGTCTGTATCCCAAACTCATCAAATATAGATACACAGAGCTGGAGTCATTGAAACTTTCGTATTCACTTTGAACTGGTTTCAGATACTGCTGTGCTAAGATAGTATGACAGTAATTTTCTCGTTAGTTACAGACAGTGAACATAATTAGTACAATCTTTACGGAATTAATTATTTAAATAGTGACGTAGAAAAATCTTAACTGAAAATCCTTGTGCTGAATACAACCTGGTCATACAGAACACCACTTGTCTGAAACCTGATGGAAAAGATGGACCTGTTTTCTCCCAAACTGTAGTTATTTATGGAAACTATTTGGAAGAGATTTTTATGTTTTCTACCTGATTCAGTCATCAATATTTCTGCTCCATCAAGGTAGCCTGAAAAATAATCACGTCTGGTCCAAGAAAAACAGTTACTAAAAGCATCATCAGGTCCCAGCGCATTCTAGCATGATGACAACAGCCAAGTTACAGGGATCCACAGTTTCAGCTTGTTAACAAATATTAATGGTAGGTATTTGGGACTGATTCTCCCTTGGATTACAACTTGTGGAGTTGGAATGGTGAAGTAAAGAGTCAAGTTATACCGAGCCATAATGAGAATTTAAGTCATCTGATACAGCAAGTACAAAGTATCAACAAGTATTTGGTACCTGGAACTAATTCTACCTTGGGGTACCCACAGCGAAGTTGGAATGAAGTCACAGTGGGGACTCCTGATAGTCGATATGTTTATATTGATTATTCCATATGTTGGAGAGTCTCCCGGCTGCTGGATCAGATTGAGACTGGAGAGTATGGACAGTTCACAGGACTATAAGGTAAGCTCATGCTAATTACTTTCTTCATAGTGACACGTGAAGATAACTATTGCCAATCCATGCCTAAACATGTATTATAGCAAAATTTTCAATAATTCCTAATCTAACATTCCAAATATGCTTAAACAGTGCTTTCCATTGTGTCGTGATGTTTCTGTAGATCAAAGATTTCACATGTGTAAACACATAATTTAATACTTTACATAATCTAGACAATTCAATTCAATGTGGTATTCATTAGGGCTTACGATTCACAAGTGTATTTTGTGAATTAAAGTTTATTTGTTTCTTAATTCAATTCATTATTCATGATCACTAAAATCAAATATTCATGAATATTTTTTAAATGAATGTTTTTACTTGAGTATGTCTATTATTTACCAAAGCGAGATATGCAAAATGTTACATATCAAGCCAGGATAACAGTAAACATAGATAACACTGTCATATATTCAGTTTGACAGTAATGTGGTCAGTGGATATTGCTGTCATATATTACCACCGTCAACATGGTCAATACGGTCGAAACTGTATATATTTTATTATTATTTAACTGAATATAATATTAAGACATCAACGAGTGACATGTTCAGGTATTCATCTGAAACATTTGCATTCATTGCCCTCTATTCATGATATGTATTGTACTATTTGTAGTCGCCTCATGTGGATTCTTTGACGCCCTAGTATTCATACATGATTTGTAAAACCACTTCAGAGAGAAATCTGAAACTTCTAATACTTTAAAAATTAAGGATCATATCACATCATATCAGGGGCGGTGGGGTAGCCTAATGGTTAAGGTGTTGGCTCGTCACGCCAAAGACCTGCGTTCGATCCCCCACATGGGCACAATGTGTGAAGCCCATTTCTAGTGTCCCCCACCGTTAAATTGCTGGAATATTGCTAAAAGTGGCGTAAAACCCAACTCACTCACATCACATCACATCACATCTCACATCACATCACATCACATCATCATCACATCTCATCACATCACATCTTTCTTGCATCACATCCATATTGTAATCTCATTCTCATCTCATAACATAAAATTTCAAACAAAAAAAAAGAAGATTTGTTTTATGTTGCAAACTATATCCAAATATATTATAATTTATATGTAAGGACAATGCAATCCCCTTGGCTACTAACCTCCATCTGCTGTCACTTTTACACTCATATGTTGTATTGTCGACCAAATCCTCCGAGCTCTTGCCACATAAATATACTGAGGGAAACAAATAAGGTATCACATGAAAGCACAAGTGTTTAATATTTATTTCGAAGGTTTCTTCACAAGCTTTGTATTGCACAGCTTGTGAAGAAACCTGGAAAAAATAAAGGAACGCTTGTGCTTTCATGTGATCCCTTATTAATTCCTTTCAGTATATGTATTTTAGCATTATTATCAGTCAACTTGAATCTAATGTTACAATAGGCCTAGACAGGGGTTTGTCGCTGTGTTCTTGTAGTGAAAAATGTCATATGACAAATTGGGCAATTTACAGGTATTGATACAGACATGATTTTAAAAACTTTCATTTCATGAAATTACATTTTTACCATCCCTTTTTTAAGAATAAGATTATATGATTATGAAATTATTGATCTTGTACATTTATGTATTGATCAAATGTATTCATACTTGATTACAAAAGCTATTAATTGAGTAAAATTACATCTCTAACTTTCAATTTGTAAGTATATAGAGGATATTATATGAGTGCCTATGTCATACTATGTTTACGACACGAGTGCCTAGATATTGGTATTTCCCGAGCGAGAGCGAGGGATATACCGATATTTAGTCACGAGTGTCGTAAACATAGTATGATATGGGCACGAATATAATATTCTGTTTATTACTGAAGTCGTCAAATTGAGGAAAATAAACCCAAATCTACTTTCAAACATAGGCTGGCTATCCGACGTTGCCGCATGTAGAACGCAACGTCATAGAAGGAACGTGACGTCATAGCATTGCTCATGACGTCGCGTCACCATGACAAAGTGATATTTTGCCCTAGGGCATCGTATGAAAAATATGAACCCCGATATTTTCGTTCTCGTAGGTAATAAAATATTATATGATGAAGAGATCTTTAATCTTGAGCATTTCGGTATCACCATGGCAACCTAGTCTTATGAATACATGACAACATTTATTAACTCCTTTTGAGTAGCATACCGGTATATATAAACATATGTTTTGAGCTTTGTACAAGCAAGGTATCAAGGAACAAACAACAATACATAATACTTCAGTAAAGCTCACAGTGACAAGTTGACGAAATATCTCAATGGAAATGTCTCACCAGCAATCACAAGACAGAACCTACAGACCTCACTCAATAACGACACAATTACAACCACAAGATCCCATATCCTCATGCCTGCAACCAAAAATGTACCAATAAAATAATCTTAATCTTCATAGGAAGAGATCTGAATCAAACCTGACTGATCGTTATCCAATATCACAACAATGTTTCCATGCACACAATCCACACTTCCACCTGTCGGTCCGCCTGATGTTGAGTCCAACTTTTTGTATTACCATACGAAGGATTAGCAAACATTACAAAGTCAATGCTGTTTAATCCTACTTGTCGTAAAGTCCTTGAGTAAACCCACCTACAGCTCACCACTCAAGCCATGGGACAACACTTGGAAAACTAGCTGGAAATAATTATATTAGCATTACCATAAAACATCTAATATTGGTCCCAGCAGGGGTGAGCGAGTCTGGACAAGAAACTTCCTATTTCATGACACAAAGGGAAATATTCTTTGATTAAAATAGAGGTTATTATCTGACATGTTCATGAATAATGTAGTTGGTCAGTATAAAGAAAACAGAATCTGATTCTGAAATTAAATCTGACTTTTTAATTAAATTGGAACAAACAAACTAGATTAAGAAATGGAGATTTGTAAGGAAAAGTTTTAGCCGGAATGTATTGATTGTTTGAGACAGAATACAATGAGTGTGTGGTTTAAGCTGCTGTATACTGACAATATCTCGTCTACTGGACACTAGAAATAGGGTCCACATAGACTACCCGGGTGGGGAATGGAACCCTGGTCTTCAGTGTGATGAGCAACTCAAGTGTATCTGAATGGTGGAAGTAAAATAAACTTGATTACATGGGCATGTGAGTGAGCCCAGGGGTAGATGAATTACTGGACTAGTGGTAGAAAGATTCCTGGCATAGTGGTAGATGAAGTAGTGGCCCAGGGGTAGATGGATTACTGGACTAGTGGTAGAGAGATTACTGGCATAGTGGTAGATGGAGTAGTGGCCCAGGGGTAGATGAATTACTGGACTAGTGGTAGAGAGATTCCTGGCATAGTGGTAGATGGAGTAGTGGCCCAGGGGTAGATGAATTACTGGACTAGTGGTAGAAAGATTCCTGGCATAGTGGTAGATGGAGTAGTGGCCCAAAGGTAGATCAATTACTTGGCCCAGTGGCAAAGTGATTACTTGCACAGAAGGAGAGGGATTACTGGCTTAGTGATAGAGTGATTATTGGCCCATTAGTAGAGTGATTATTAGCCCAGAGGTAGAGTGACTACTGGCCCTGGTAGAGGGATAGAGAGAGCACTGTGGAAGTGTTTACGGTGTATAGTATTGAGGACATGCAGTGGGACAACTCACTGCCTCTATACAAATCACCAATTGAAATAGAACTTCCATGGCAGGTGACAGGGGTGAAACTTAAATTGTGATTGAATTCTTTACTCTGTAACACAAGATGTGTGTTTTCATGCAGCATTGATTCTGTTTACACTGACAACCAAAAAATCACTGGGTCGTGTTTTGGAGACATGTTCATGATACACAGACTTTGTATTAACCTGTTTCCCTGGTAGTAGGAACAAAAATGATTACCCTCAGCTATGCCATCTACATTTGAGTGAGTGAGTGAGTTTGGTTTACGTTGTTTTTAGGAATATCATGGCGGGGGACAACAGAAATGGGCTTCACACACTGTACCCATGTGGGGAATCGAACCCTGGTCTTCGGCGTGATGAGCGAACCACTTTAACCACTGGGCTAGCCCACTTCCCATCTACATTTGACAGCGAGTTAAGAAAGAAAGTTGTTTTCACTGCAGTTTGGAATCAAACCAAATATTCTCACTGAAGCAAGCAAGCACACCAACCACTGGGCTACCCTCACTCTTGCTGCAGTCAATGAGTTTATGCTGTAAACAGGAATATTCAAGCTATTGAAGGTCCAGGGCTACCAGTGATCGATAGAATCAGCACCATTAAGTTATTATTACTTGGTTTAAAAAAATATACTTTTTTTCAACAGATGGGGACAGTGGATAATCAAATAATACAATACAAAACAATATTTTTAAAATGTAATTTTTCAATGAATGGAATAGTTTCGAAAACGAAATTAAAACATGTAACTGGACCAAAATTTAAACATGAGGTAGGGCAGAGAATATGATTCAAATCACGAAGAATTGGTAACAAATTTAGAAGCTGAAGTATTATTCAGTGTATTCATTGAAACAATAACAAAATATATTCTTTGACATGTTTTGACATTTATCATGACAATGACAATGACCACGTTATGGTCAAAATATATGTCTTGGGTATGATCCTGCCCAGCTTTGATATATTCCATTTTGCCTATTTAGATTTGACAAATAACACCCAAATTCAAGCAAAACACTCCTTTTTACAAAATAATTAACATTCGATTCTTGTCAACATGAATAACAAATTAAATTCATTAAAAATTTAAATTCACCAAATACACGAATGAACAGCCCTGATACATGTTTGCAGATATCATACAAATCTTTGCAAAAGCACCCAGTTGATCTGTGAGAATAACACAAGATAACACTTTGGGTGAATGGATACATCTGTATACAACAATTTGTGTTAAAAAGTGTAAAGATTAACACACATGCAGAATAATAATAAGTACACGCGGAAACATACAGGGTTCATAAGAATATAGGGGGGGCAGAGGTGGCTTCATTGTCTCAGTCATCGCTATTCGTTGTGGTGAGTTGCCTCCCTTAGACACGCTAGATATGTGACACTGAGTTGTTTGAATCCCGGTTTGACCAGATTATGGTTCTAGCTTCATTAGCACCACACATCTGTGACTTTCATTAAAGTTGTAAACATCTGACACCTGCATTACAAGGGCTGGATAGAGAGATTAATAATCGGAAATATCGTTGATGGGAAGAACTATAAAGGATTATCAACTGACTGACTGAGTTTGGTTTTACGCCGTTTTTAGCAATATTCCAGCAACATCAAGGCGGGGAACACCAGAAATGGGATTCACACATTGTACCCATGTGGGGATTCGAACCCGGGTCTTCGGCATGATGAGCCCACGATTAAACCACTAGGCTACCCCACCACCCCCAAATGATTATCAAACTTATATAAAGGATTATATGGAAATTTTGCCATTGTTATTGTACATGAATATTGTGATGAAATAGAGTGTTAATTTACTCACACAATACACAAAGCTACGTCTTTATTCATGCACTCATTCTAAACTATGTTCAAGCAGTGTTTTGTAATATGTCATATCTGCGATTACACTTTCTTAGTACAGTACAAAATCTGAGTACTTTTCTTGGGTTGAGTCCCATCCGAGATTCAAACCACACCTTCAGGCACCTAATCACCAGCACACAAAGTCAGACGTCTAATCCGCTCAGCAAATGCGGCTACCACAAAAAAAATCAAAATGGAGTTCAGATAACTGGTAGTCCAGACCATGAAGTACCCCTCTGATAAGTGTAAATTGCCACTGTTCTCACGGGGAAAGCTATGAATACACAATGCCAATTGGTAAGTGGTCATATGTTACATTTGGGATTACACTTTCTTAGTAAAGTACTAGAATCTGAACAGATACATACAGGATTGATTCAGCAGCCAAGAAATCAAGGCTCACTGACCATGATAAACCACCAGAGATGCCAACCCCAAAGTGTTGCAAACAGTAGTTTCAAGGATCGAAATTAGTAGTTTGACCATAAAATTAGTAATCAACCAAATACTTACAATCATGATGGATTCTGAGAAAGATAATATGACACTAATCAAGAGTGAAGTTTCAATTTCACATACCTCCAACACCAGATTTCCAAATTATCAGCATTAAATTCCTTCTTGTCATCTCTTTTTGGCAAAAATGTATATTAATTGACGAATATATATATTTTTGTCTACATATCCGAATTTTAATGAATTTTCTTCAAATTTCATAGAATTTCTAGTGCAATCGTATTGGCGTAGTTTGAGGCTAAAATTTGTAGCAATTACGATTACATCGTAGTGGTTTGCATCACTTGAATAAAACATACTTCTGTAATAAAAACTAATTTCAAACATAGGAATATAGTTAAAAGTAAACCCCAGAATAAAAAAAGTACCTACAGTTCTGTGTGTGAGTGAGAATGGTGTTGTGCTGCTTTTAGCAATATTCCAGCAATATCATGGCGGGGTACACAAGGAATGGGCTTCACACATTGTACCCATGTGGGGAATCGAACCCTTCGGTGTGACGAGTGAACGCTTTAACCACTAAGTTACCCAACCACCCTTTAAGCACTGTGAAATTCCATGCAGTATTCAAGATAAATCACAGCATGATGTATAATTGATTAAGCCCAATAAGCCCCATCTGACAGGAGACCATCGTAACTCACTCAAGTAAAACATATTTGGGTAGCAGTGAGGACCCAATGCCTTTTCATCCAATCTTACAATAGCAGCGAATCTGACAAGTGAGGATATGGCATATAAAACACTTAGCATAAGATTCAGGCTATTGTGTGGCCAGTCACACCCTATTACATGTCAATAACACTGCATAGCCTGTTGTTTCCAAGAGAATTCACACCTAAGTGAAAAATCTATTTTATGTAGTTTCTTTTGTTGTGTGTGAATATTGCCGTAAAGGGCAAAGTTTGGAGGAAATTAGTCTTTGGAATGAGATGTGACTAGCTGGGGGTCTATATTTGCCTCTTAGTTGTGTTAATGGGAGAATGTGTATGTTAAGGATCAATACGGGTTGTGAGTGAGTGAGTGAGTGAGTGAGTGAGTGAGTGAGTGAGTGATTGTGTGTGAGTGAGTAAGTTTGTTTTAATGCTGCTTTGTGCATATTCCAGTTATATCCATCCTCAATAATCTCCAGGGTATACGTTACGATAACTCTCCACTATACCCTGGATGCATCTACGGCTCGGCCCGATGATTTTATTACCTTCCTTGGCTGGCTTTTTATCCAATCAGGTGTCTACGCTGGGAAGTTGAGCGTACAAATCACAACTCACTTTAGCTTTTTAAATTATCTAACCGATTAAACTTGTCAACACAATAATATTTTATTGCAGATACTCCGAAAAAGCAGTTCTTGCATATATATTTTTAAGGTTTCAGACCTGTCTATTTGTCTGTATGTTTTCCCCCCAAATCTGAGTCACACTGCGAACAAACTTTGGTGGCTGCGACAGCTATTTTTGTTGACACTGGCAAGCTCGGTTGTGACGGTGGCTTATCTGATTTGCTACTGTGAGAAGGGAGGTAATAAAATCATTGGGCCAAGCCATAGATGCATCCAGGGTATAGTGGAGAGTTATCG